CTGTTACTGGCTTTTTGGAGTGTCTAGTCGGGACTTGGAATTTCGAATAATAAGCAATATAATATCTGACTATTTTAATATTTTACTAATTTTTATTTTATTTTATTTTTATTTTTTTTTAGATGATAATAGATATCGATTTTCGGATTATATTTAATTTATTAATTAAAAAAATATATATTGTACTTAAATAAATTCAATAAAAATATCGATTTTTGAATTACTTTATTTGATTTCGAACTTTTTTGAATATGTATAGAAAAAAGTGATATAATAAGTATGATTGTAATAGTAAAATGACGAATTGATAAAAAGTGATGAAACTTGTGTAAGGTAGCGAAACTGGTAAAACTAATGAAACAACAAATTGAATTAATTGATAAAAAAGAAAAATGAAAGGGTTGCTTTTATTCGAGCACTATTGTAATATACGTCAATTATGGTTGGTCAATTTTTGCCTAATGAATTTTTGTTGGTTAATAAATCATACTTATAGATAATTTTTTTATATATTAAACGCCAAATTTTTAAATGTATATAAAAGTTAAAATACTATAACTCAAGAACAAACTAGTTTATTAAAAATCCTTTTTTACAGATTTTGTTGCTTTTTATTCAAGCTACAATTTTTTATTATAATAGATTTTTACTTTGTTTATAATTTTAAAACGTTATACCATTTTTTATATTTTATATATATAAATTTGCTGTTCGGTACTGTACCAAAAAAAACCCCGTACTTATATAATATTCTAACTATCACTATATTATTTGGCATTACCGTACTTTAGCGCAATGGCGCTCATGAAGGTTATTTTGAAATTTGGCCCGAATTAAGCTTAATTTAAGCCAAAAATTGAAATCACCCATGCGCGCGTTATTACGTGAAATTATGATAAATAGCATTATCAGAAATAAAATAAAATTTGTTAAACTTATTGTAATGTTAAACTATAGTAATTTGTTTTTTTGTTTACATATTTAAAACCTAATTAGTTTGAATTTGGTACGCAAGATGATACAGGAGCTCCGTTAAATATTTTGCAAGGTTAATGCCTTTACCATGATTTAAAACCTCTTGCCCGAATCCCTCAAAATTTTAATGATCCCATTCAACTGGACTTTTATTTTGCTCAACATGCAATCATTCAAGCATATAAAATTCATTAGGACTACTTCACAGCCTAGGTTTGCCAATAATACAGATTGAATCTATGTAGGTTTATCACTTAATTATTACGCGGTTTTTTTTTTTACCTACTGCTAAATTCCGTTATCGATAATGGAAAATATAATGTGTATGCTACTTTGAAAACACCTTATTCATAGGTTTCATGATAATAGCAAATTTATGATATTTAAGAATGTAATAATTTTTTGAGAAAATGTGAGACTCAGGTTGTGATTTTTTTCATCCTGGCTTCGAGCACATTAAATAAATAAATCACAAATGCCTCTTAATAAAATAGAATAGAAATAGAATTGATCACATTCTAAATTTATTATATATTACAGTAATATCGATATCGATATTGACAAATGAATTTGTCTAATTACCAAATTTTCTACCCGACAACAATTCCCATGAACGAATTGTATTAACCGTAGTTTAGGTACTTGATGTTTCGTAAAAAGGTACAAACGAAATTTTTACTAATCAAAGCTATTCTTAATTTCTCAACTTTTTTATACAGTTCGATACTTTTTTCATTGTGACAAGAATTAATTTACCGACAGTATATCACAACTATCCTAGCGTTGCCAAGCTAAAAAATTTCGCTAAAAAAAATTCACTGTTAGATTAAGGGGATATAGCATCATCTAATTTTTAAATAAAACTCAACATGTTATAAGATTCTACTGATTAAAAACTTATACCGGTGTACAAATGGGTATCTAGATTACCTTTCTTAATTCATAATTATTTTGACAATTGATTAAAAACTCATTGAATTCGGCTGATCAAATTTTTATGAGAACAGCGAACTTAATTAATAATTACCGAAATTTTTAGCAAATTTGAAATTCTTTATATCAAATACATATTACAAGATGAGTTAAGTCGATATGGTAAAAATTTGAATATGCATTTATGGGTTTTCCTTTGGGATGAATCCATTCTATAACTGTATAACGAACAAAGTCTACAGAATAGCTAATTTTGTGTATATTGAAAAAAGCGATCGTAGTATCAGATGGTTTTTTTTTTTTTTTTAGTAGAGACACCATTTAATAAGTGTAAGCGAATTTTAGAACAAGATTATTTACTATTTTATGCCACCATATTAATATATTAAAATTATTGTAAACCCTTAAATTGAATTTTTTTCCAAAAGATTTTATTTACCTATATATATTGCCAGACCTCTCTCTGATTCCCGATTATAAATATTACAAATGTAAAAATTTATATAAACATATATAATGTATATAATAAATGAACCTATACCAAAAAATTTATATTCATAATTTGGTTTTAAAAGGATGAAATCCAACGTTGTGCCAACAGTTTAACAATATTGTTACTAGAAACGCATTCGGTTTCCATAGTCTAAATCAAAATATAAATAAATCAAATAAATATGAGTACAAATTCAACAATATTTAAATCTTGTTAAATATACTAACCGAAATAAATGGTTCATAACTATTAACATAAAAGAAATTTGTATCTGGTTCTATTGGTGGAAATGTCTGATTCGGTATTAATCTTGGATAAGATTTCCATACTTTTCGAAAAGTCCAGGATCTTTCCGAAAAAATCCTGTCAAGTACTTCATCAGACATCTTTTCATGCGAAAATATTTTGTTCAACGTTTCACCATTCTCTAGCACAACTTTCGAAGCCAAACTGAGAAATTCTGTTTTACCACTATTTGTTGTTAATATTTGATTTGGACAAATTTCAACTCCTGTACAATTAAAATAAGATGGATTTAAGCGTCCTGTTATGAATGTGACATGAAGTGTCACATAAGGAATATTTTTCATTTCCAAATATATATTTTCAAATTCTATTCCAGAAAATTGCTAGATTATTATGTTAAAATAAGTATTAGGTATCATTGATATTATCATCATAAAAATCACATGGATGAAAATAATGAAAAAAAATTACAATAGGTGCAGCCATGATGATTGCGTCAAATATTTCAGTGGTACCATTTTTTGTTTGCACCATATATTTCTCTGATTCCTCTGCACCATTTGTTGTCCGAAATTTAGTTACTTTTACAACTTTAGTATTCAAATTCAAAGTTGCACCAGAGTTTTCAATAAACTTTTCGAAAAGTTTGTAATTTCCACCCTTAATACTCTTTGCACCTGTTGGTGCAAGACTAATAAATGCACCCATTGCATGAATTTCACCTAAATTCTGACCATAATTAACACGAGTCATAGGTTCAACCAAATGTTGAAGGTAAAGTTGATTAATATTCTTTAATTCAGAAAAATAATATTGAGCTGTGAATTTTCGTTCTAAATCGAGATGAAGCCTTTCTGCTTCTGAATCAACACTTTTAAAGGGTTCTTTAAGCTCATATGTCTTCAAATATTTTGATATAGTTGAACTGACTAATCGTTGAACCTTAAAATAGAGTTAGTAACATAATAAATTATCTACATGGTAGAGGAATGATGAAAATTTTTATTCTACCTTAATAGGAGCCCATCCATATTTCCAAATGAGTTTAGGGATGTCCCAGTACGAACTTGAAGACTGTTCGAAAACAAATTGATTTCCATCCCATCTATGAAAAAGATGGATATATATTGGTGATTTTTTTTAATGAATAATCGAACATTAAGTTTATAATAATTATTATACAAACATTCCAACTTTTGAATTGTTGAGTTCTTCACCATAATTAATAAATTCCAATCCAAATTTTTTAGCAGAATTCGTCATATGATAATTAACATCAATAAATAAGGATGCACCTAATTCAACAAAAATCTGAGTATTATCACGCGTATAGTTATAAACTAGTGCACGCCCTCCAACTTGTGAAAATTGCTCGTAAACTGTAGTTTTAATTGATGTCGATGAATTGCCAAAGGCTTCAGAAATCCAGTATGAGGCCGAAGAACCACCTGCACCAGCACCTGATAAGTCATTTAAAGTTAGTTTAACAGTACTGATGAAATATGAGTATAGGTGAGTGAAAACCAGGATGTTTAATTATAGATTATTACAAAATAAATATTATTCTATACAGTTGACCAACCATAAGGGATCCTCCATACGTGCACTTACCCGTGACATTCATTCTTTAAGGGTGTATCGTTGATCAGTCTAACGTAAATTATGTAGTATTAAATGTAAATCAATAGAAAAGGGACAAGTAAATTTTTTTTAACTTTTAAATTAAAATATCTCGACAATTATCTAATTAAATTTAATAATTTTTTTTATTTATTTTAATTTTAGAAAATTTTTATCAAATTTAATCAGATAGCTATTGAAATATTTAAGTTTAAAGCTGATAAAACTTTTACTTGGAAAAAATTTGTCCCTTTTCTATTGACTTCCCATATGTAGTTGAGACTAAATCACTCTCCATATGTACATATTTTATAAGTGAATTTTTCCCTGACAATGTGAAATTTACAATGTCTTGAATTGCTCTTAAAATTTCCTTTTTAAGTATCCTCTGACTGGGTTAGCATTGGAACTCGACGGAGCTGCGAATGGAGCCAATGGATACTAGTTTCTACGAACAGCTCAAAGTCCTGGTCAACTGTATTCACGCTTCCTGGTTTTCACTTGGCGATTCTCATGTTAATTACATACCGATTATTGCCACAGTTTTTTGCTCTTTTTGCTTTGGTACTTCAAAATAAGCAACATTTTGTGCTGGTGAAAGATTGATGCAAAATAATATCAGTATTAAGTAAAAAAGCATTACTGATCGAAATACTCGTATTAATTCAAAATATTTAATGGAAGCCATGGACAAGTATATTGATATTGATTTAGAAGTTAGCGTACGTACGTATGATAAACAATGTTTATATTATTGTATAAAACAATAATTGCTGATCGTACCAATAAAGGCACATCATACCATGAATGCACATACCTACGTACTGGTATAAAATCGTCTTCTATAGGTGCACGCTTTTTTTAAATAATAATTGAGGGATGAATTAATAGGTCTGGTTTTTTTCTTTTTTAACATAAAAAGGTCCAAGTATTTGTTATGGTAGGAAAAAAAAACTTTATTGACTGTCATAACGATAAATAACAAATAACGATAATAGATAAATAAAATTTAAGTAGTTTGTGATATTGTACAATCTAAGGTACACAACTAATACTTGATGTCGTACTATATATACGTTTTATGATCTAACGTCAACGTCAATAGAAATCAAGCAAATTTTTTTTAAGTAAATTTTTTTAAAAACTTTGAATAATAATAACTTAACGACAACTTAATCAAATATTATGTTCTGACATTCAACATAGCTCAAGTCAACTTCTTTTTGATATTTAGCATGATAATCGATTTAATATCAAAATCACACTCAACATTCCAGCACAAAAATTCCTAAGTGATTTTAGAATTTAATAAAAAATTTTTAAATGAATTCTACAAACTTATAGAATTTATTTTATTAAATTTGATCAAGTTTTTGTTATTAGCATTTATAGTTTTAAATAAAAAGCATTTGCTTGATTTCTATTGACTTACCCTCATATCATAAGGTCGCCTAAAATCAGGTACGTACGTACGTAGGTTTTAAATTGTTTACTAACAAATTTGTGTAAAGTAAAAATCACATGACATGTATAAATTACTACCTGTGAAAAATATCGATTTATGTAATCGATATTTTCACTGTCCTCGCTACCTGCTTTAAAGATGTATGAAATATTATCACTGATTGGACAAAAAATATATTACGCAACTTTGCATTATGAATTATAGCTGTTTTCACAAAGGTGTAACCAGTGCGCACTATTATTTTGTAGGAAATCACACGATATCTCAATTTTCCTGATTCTGCGAATAAGGGAAATCAATGCGAATCAAGGGAAATCATGTAGATTTCCCATGATATAAATGGTGCACACTAGGTTACACCTTTTTGAAAACAACTTTAAATTGTAAGATCCGTCCGTGTAACATAAAAATGATGAAGCTTTTCAAAAATTGTCGGTAACCTATAATTTTACTTATGAAACCACCTTTCGTGTCTTAATAAAAAAATTCCTTAAGTGTTCCAAGTTGGCCAATTGATTAGTTGCCAACTATAGTTGCGACTAAATGATTTTCTATCATGTGACCAAATTTAAAGAAATCAACATAAATTAGACGGAATTGAACTAGTAATCAATTAGGTTCCAATTTTTTCAAATTGGTAGTTGGAAAGCTGTCAACTAGATGATTTTTTAATTAATGATTTGAATCACTAACTGACATGTTATTTCATTTATAACATATTTTTTAATAAGAGTGATGTGTATGACCAACTTAGTGCCCACAAACTTTAAGTACAGAGTACTTTACTATTACAGGTCTTTAGGCCAATTAACAAATCTAATATATATTACTTATTAAGTACAGTATAACCTCGATACGTATAATGAATCTCGATATAACGATAACGAAGATTATTTCTAATTTTTATGCTTAAATTAGCCCTGATATAACGAAACTACTGATAAGTTTTGATATAACGAAGCAAAACCTCCAGCTCCGGAGTTTCGTTATATCGAGCTTATAATGTAAAATTGTTTTTTTACCAATCTAACCTATCTTCAAGTATTGTAAAACTAGCTTTTGTAATTCTAATAGTAGTAAGATCAGTAAAATTAACCTAAAAATTCTTAAAATAAATTTTTTTTTTACAACTATATAAAATTGCTTTACAATTATAAAAAAAATTATATTGATTATAAAGAGATATTTTAAGAATTTCTAGATTAATTTTATATATTTTATTACTATTAGAATCACAAAAACTAACTCTACAATTTTTGTTAAAACTTGAAAATAAGTTAACTTAGTAAAAAAATAACTTCACATAATGAGCAACGTCAGATTCTACTCTATTATAAGACTTATACTAGGAACCAGAAACCAGTATAAGTCTGATCTGAAAACACCAAAGCTACATTTTTGGTATTTTTATCATAAACGCATCAAAAACGTAATTTTAGTCATCAAAAGGCGTAGAAGTATGAGTCTGTCGCTTCTCTCCATACAATTAAATATGCCCCAAATTTTATTATAAAAAATTATAAAAACTATAATTCTTAGATGAATTACGAATTAAATTAACGCGTTTATTAGATTTGTTTGGATCTCGCGTTAAACATTGATCGTATGGGGTACGTTACAACGCATACGCGCAAGATGATAAAATTTTGATAAAGTCTGCGATTTTAAAGTTAAAAACATTTGGCGCAATTAGATAGTTAGTGACTATAGCATTTTTTGATTCATAAAATGAAGTAATTTAAATGCAATATTAAAAACATCGTAACTATATGCGCACTTGTGTATCAAATTAAACAATTGCAATTCCATCTTTACTAATTTTTTCCAATTCACTAAATAAATCCATACTTAAAATAAATTGTCTCTGCAATTAATTATTTCTGTTAAATTTTTTGTTTTCTGTTTCTTACAATCAGTAACTTTCACTTGATAATTAAAGTTTATATTGCCCATCAAGATGACCACTTTCAGCAGATTTTAAGTACCACTCGAGCGCTTTTTTTGCATCTTTCATAGTTCCCATTCCTTTTGAGTAACAATATGCAAGATTATATTGTCCACATGAATTACCACCTTTAGCAGATTTTAAAAACCATTTAAATGCTCTTCTTTCGTCCTTAACTGTACCTATACCATTTTGATAGCACCATCCGAGGTTATTTTGTCCATTTGAATTATAATTTTTGGCAGATTTTGAATACCATTCGAATGCCTTTTTTTCATCCTTATCTATACCTATTCCATTTCTGTAACACCAACCGAGTTTACATTGTCCATCGGAATTGCCACTTTCAGCAGACTTTACACACCATTCAAATGCTTTTTTTTCATCCTTTAGTGTACCAATGCCGTTCCTGTAACAGAATCCAAGATTATATTGTCCATTTGGGTTGCCACCTTCTGCAGACTTTGTATACCATTCAAATGCCTTTCCTTCATCTTTGGCTGTACCTACACCATTTCTATAACAGAATCCGAGATTATTTTGTCCATGACAATTGCCACCTTCAGCAGATTTTAAATACCATACAAATGCCTTTTTTTCATCTTTGGCTGTGCCTATACCATGCTCATAGCAAAGTCCAAGGTTGTTTTGTCCATCGGAGTTTCCACCTTCAGCAGACTTTAAATACCACTTAAACGCCAACATCTTATCCTTCGCAGTGCCTACGCCTTCGTCATAACATGAACCAAGATTAATTTGCCCACTTGAATTACCACTTTCAGCTGATTTCAAATACCACTCAAGCGCCTTTTTTTCATTCTTGGCCGTGCCTTTGCCGTCTTTATAACAAGTTGCAAGATTATTTTGTCCATCGAAATTACCGCCTTCAGCAGACTTTAAATACCATTCAAATGCTTTTTTTGGGTCCTTGACCGTGCCTATGCCATGCTCGTAGTACAGTCCAACATGGTTTTGTGCAGTGGAATCACCATCTTTAGCAGATTTCATATATAACTTAAATTCATTCTTTTTATTTGTGGCTGCATTTGTGCTAAAGACATTGTTCAATATTTGCCGAATCATAACCAGATCTATTCTATAATTATGAATGGTTAAAAAAAAAGTATAGCTAAAATATAAGTACGACGACTTAGAATAACAAAAGATATTATGACAGTATTGTCGTTAACGCTAATCTTTCAGCAACAAGAAATTGCAGTCGTGATATATGATAATTTATTGAATGAGAGTTTCGTTTAAGCAATCTGGAAGAGACGTGGATATTTATAATGACGTTGCAAGTGCCTTATATATTCGTTATATCATTATGGTTTCGTCATATTCACCTATTATTAATCACTATTATGCAAACTACCTCATAATTCGTTCACTTCATAGCGGCGCATAATAAATATTATTCTGACCCTTATTTATATAGAGATTATAATGGCACGCACGTCTTGAACGTGTGGCAGGTTCGTGGCGCAGATTTCCTGAACTACGAATCAGATTTCAAAGTCAAGGGAACGTAATACTATCAAGGAAATTCAAAAACAAACGTTCGTTTTACTTATTTCTCACTTTTAGTGCTCTAACCAAAAGTTTTCATTAGGCAATGTTAATATATAAACTACTCCCTTCTAATTCCTAACCCTGACCCTCCCTAACCCTAACATAAACGAGCTTTGCTGCGCCACGAACCTGGCGCACATTCAAGACGTGCGATAAAGGCAGCCACGATAATAGGGATTGGGAACCATTTAACCGTTTAAAAATTGCCCCATAGTTCCGGGCAGAATTATGTTGGTCGTGGGCCGGAATTATTTTAATGCCGGCCAAATTAAACGGTTAAAAGATTAAACGATTAAGAAAATTTTTAGGCGATTCCAATCCCTACACGATAATATTTGCGTAAACAACCGTTATTGTAAAATCCCTATATAAAGTAGCTGTGCGACTCTGTCAAGTCGCACTAAAACCAGGAACGTAGTCAACGATCTATTAGCGCACCTATTTTTTGCTTTATCAAATGTTCTAACATTATTCATGTTAGCATTTATGATAATAAAAGAATGCACAGATGATGACTTTAATGGTGCATGTTTGTGTTATCAAAACGAGATCCGGGTTGAAAAGGATAAGCACAAGGCCTTCGGAAATTATCAAAATCTGCTGACATGAGCCATTGAAGAAACAGTATTATGTTGATTATTGTCGAACGTGGATCGGAGTCGATAACAAATATACTCAAGTTCAAAAATCAGAAAAAATTTTTTTTCTTTTTTCATCTAAATAACAAATCACATCCTTTTGAACTGTATGAAGAATCCGAATTTGTATATTTATTTGATATAAAAAATCTGATTGTGTTTTTTTTTGTCTGATGGCTAGATCTAAAGCAGGTCTTAAACGAATGACCGGTGATTCACAATTACGTATTAGCATATTTTTATATTTTTGATGCCACAGTACATGTATCTCATCAATCAAGTATACCAGATCCAAATAGGGATGTTAAATTGCGAATCCAGTCCGGTCCGGCCCTAGGATCTCTAGGACAGTCCAGGATCTAGATCCCTTATTTATCAATAAATCGGTCCCAGGACCCGGTCCTGGATTGCAATCCTCAAATAAGTCATATTGATACGTTCAATTTTTTTTTAAAAAAAAATATATTATAAAAAAAAAAAAAAAAGAAAATGAGAAAATTTTTTATATAAAAAAAAACCAAAATTATATATATATATATATATAAAATGAAATTTATATATAAGGTAAGTATTCCTATTTTGACGCAGTGCTCAATTTGACGCATTAACGATATCTCACGTTCCGGTGATTGGAATCACATGATTTCGGTACCATTTGATTCATCTCGACGAGACGAGTCAAATGAAACCAAAATCACGTGATTCCAATCACTGGAACGTGAGATATTATCATTTAAGTGATCTACATTACCTTTCTCGCCCGGATAAATTCATGTGTTCTGGAAGAGGTAACCGTAACACGTTGAAATTGGCCTTTCGTACTAAATAATTGGCATGCATACATTAAATAAAGTTATTTCTAATAAGTTCTATATAAATTATAATCGCAATAAGCAATAAAGTTTTGTTTTTTAATTGCACGATCTTAAAAGGAACGTAAAATTAAATTTTAATTCGGATCAATGGTTTTCAATCATGTAAATATTTACAAATTGGCACATGTAATGCCACATAGCAATCTCAAAACAGCTTGTTAAATGTAATAAAAATGTTGAACCTGATAGTATAAAAATGTTAAACCTGATAATTATAAACAATTAAACTTTGGTATTGTGATAAAAACAAAGAACTAGTTTATTATCAAAAAATTTTTTAAAATAAAACTATAACAAAGTACAGTGATCATAATACCTGACATGATGCTATTAATAATGTTCTTCAGACACTTAAGGATGTCCCAAGTGGATTTAAAATTCCAAGCACCAGAAGTATTACATGGGACTATGATATTTCTGAGGTTATTCTTAAGCATGCCATCAAAAATGATGGTCTTTTTTCTTATTTAGGTTGTGCTAAGATCCTAATCAACCATGAAAAGGAATAGTTAATTAGTTATTGTTTAAATATGCAGAAGCTTGGCTTTGGGTTAACAAGGTCTGGTGTAAGCCAGTATGTAATAGATATTGTTCATTAGAACAAGTAACTTTATCCTTTTAAAGAAACTAGACCAGAACAAAAATAATAGTGACTTTTTCTGAAAAATCACCTAGAACTTTCATTTTATGTTTTGCAAGTTCTGAATAAGGCTTATACCTAGAAGACAAATCCTATTATTATTAATAACTATTTTAACAAGTTTCAAAAAATTATTCAAGAATATGAACTTATTGCAGACAGAATTTGGAATATGGTATTATTTTTTTTATTTTTTTTTTATTTTTATTTTTTATTTTTTTTATTTTTTTATTTTTTTTAAAAATTATTTTGTATTTTAGTTTTTGTTTTTTTTTTAGGATGAAACTGGATTTATTATCAAACCTAGGTTCTAAAAAGTTATAACAAAAAAAAGGAGCATGTTAAGTCTATTAGGTTTTATATAGTAGCTCTTATGAGCATATTTCAGTATATCCAACTATATCAATAGTAGAGATATACCTCACTATTGCTTATTTTTAAAAGAAATAAATGATTTTGGGTCTTTTAAAGGTACACTTGCTAGTTTTATCATATGATTTATTGAAACAAGATATATATAAGAAAGCTTATTTCAAAAATATATTGAGCATTTTATTAGTTCTATTCTGTTTATATGTTCTATTTTGTTAATTTTAAATGGTCATAAAAGTTATGTCAACTATATTAGTATTAACTTTTGTCATAAGCATGATATCCTTCTTTGCATTTTTCTTCTCTATACTACTTATATTCTACAGCTAACTGAATTATTATTTTTATATTAAAGAAAACATATAATAAAGAGTATAAAAGGTTTCGAACTAATAACAATAATAAGGTTGTAACAAAATACATATTTACTGAATTATTAGAATCATTCTATATTACAGTCTATACACCTACTGCAATATGCAATGCTTTTAAAACTACTAGAATTTAATTATTAAACCTGAATGCAATTAGTTCTAATTGTCTAGATTTTTTATTATATATGAATATTTCACAAGTCCTTAAGCAATCAGTTTTCTTATCTTCATTATTATTATCACAGTCCTTCTTGTCTTCATTTTTATCATCATTACAATTTTTTTCATCTTTATTACAATCTTTCTTGTCTTCACAAACTTCAGAATTAACTCTAACTTATATATGTCTTATCAAAACAAACTTTACTAAAAAAGAGCTATTGTCAGAAATTAGGTTACTAAATAAGAAGATTGAACAATTGGAAGAAGAACTTGAAACTCTTAATAACCTTAATACAAGTCCTTTGTAGAAGATACTTAAATATCTCTTATATTTTAACCTACCAACTAAAAATCCAAAAGATAACAAAAAGCAATCTGAAACCTAATCTCCAAAAAAAAAGAAAAAAAAAACTATATTCTTTTTTTGGCTTCTGACCAACAAAGAATTATTAAAACAATTAAAAAAAGTGAAAAGGAGGCTAAAAGAATAGTTAATAAGAAGCAATATAAAAAAGAAATGACTATTCAAAAGTAATCAGCATGTGAAACTGAAAAGACACAGAACCAAGAAATACAAAAAAAAAAAGAAAATATGAAGCATATAGAGGCAGAAAAGTAAGTATAAATCAATTTAAAAAAAAAATTTACTATTCTTATTTTAGTACATTAAATTAGAATAATCTCTTGATAATTGTGATTTTGAAAGAATTTATATTATTATAATTAGGATTTACTTTTTCTTTATTTAAAAAAAATTTTTTATACAAATACTTATTTTAAACTAAAATAAATTAAATTTAAAAGAAATTTGGATATTTTATACCAATTTAATAAAGACTTATTATTGTGAAAGATTAGCTGTATTAAAATATAAATATATATCTTATATATAAAAAAATTTTATATAAAAAATTTTTTCTTATATAAAAAAGGAACCACTAATTTATTTTAATTTTTTTTCTTTTAGAGACTTGGTTTACTTATCTTCTCTTTTAATATATAACTTAGTTCTGCAAACCAGCTTTTCAAATACATAGAGACATATGTAACTTTGGGATCTATTCAATTTCAAATAAAGTTAATTGTATACTTTGCAATAAAAAAGGCTTGTTTATTTGTTATGTTTGTAAACTAAGTCAGAAGAAAGTTTATTGCAATATGTGCAAGTGATAGAAGTTGGTTGAAGTTTGCTTTTTACTAGAGAAGTAGATTAGTTACACTCTTTAGTTCAGAGAAGTATTTCTTAATTTCACACTAATTGAGATTTATTTAGTAATATTTTGTAAGATTGAAAAAGTTCTTATATTGATTTAGTAGCAGTAGTAAGTAATAATTTATTTTTTTCTGCTAATTTATATATTTTGTATACTTTATAAAGTTTATTATCCAACAAACTCTTATGATCATGGTGCAGTTTTTGTATGTTATTTTTTAATGTATTATGACGTAATGCCAAATATTCAAATTTTACACAATTTTTGGATCAATGTTATTTGATTCAAAATCAATATTCGAGCCAAAATTACTTGAAATTTTTATTATTTAAAAAACAGCACAATTTACAAAGGCAAACAAACAAATTTTATTATAAAATATCAACTAAATATATTTAATTTTAAAAATTAAAAATACAATTATGAAAAGTATTTTCTGAAAGAAATTTTTCAAGAATTTCAAGATTTTTTAAATCCTTTTTACCACCTTTAACCTTTTCTTTTTGATTATTCTTTTTTGCATCCTTGTCCTTCTCTTTTTCATCATCTGTATCATGAACATTCTTATTATGCTTAGCCAAAACATTGCTTGATCCATCAGAAAATACTTCAAGATCATCAAATGCATTTATCAACGAAGCCTGGGAGTCATTACATCGAAGATACAAACTTGCAAAAATAAAATCATCAGATACTGGTACTACTTTTCATTGATCTTTGGGAGCTTCATTATCATCAGAGGCACCATGTTCATCATAATTACCAGGAGTGGCATTGTCATTATAGTCATCAGGAGCTTATAAAAAAAAAAAAATTAGCTAAATGTTCAAAGCCATAATAAAGCATAATATATAAATTTTACCTTTTGGAACTTGCTTTAGCATATTAAAAAATCCATTAAGACCTTTGTGTTGCATTACTGATTTCAGTCATTCATATGCAGCAAGACCTTTTTGGGACTTGTGCCTAGTAATCGACATCACAACAGAATCAGAGTATCCAAGCTCCTTTAACAACTGCATAGCAGTTTTTTTTCCCGAGTGATTTGATATATTACGAGATCCAATTTGAATATCTGTAGTTTCATATATGACTCTGAAATACTCTTTCAACTTTCGCTTACTCAGAGCACATGCATAATACCATTGTTCACAGAATTCTACTAAAAAATCCAAAAAAAATTAGTAAATCAATATTCATAAACATGAATCATACACAAAAAACTTTATCTGAATTCAACAACATTGGCTTAAGATAAAAATTCGTTACAGTTGTTATCGGGCACTTTGTAAAGTAAAATTCATAGTCATTAATAATGCTTTTAATCTTAGGTAAGCTAATAACCTCAGCCTGTGCATCATAATTATCAAGCCCTTGTTAATTGGTTTTGGATCTATACAATTTGACATCAATTTCACCATCGATTCTTTTAAAAAAATTATTAATTTGCAGAGTATAATGTTCACTACTACATAATGCTAACAGCATTGCATTATAAAAAAAAATCCAATGTAACAGGCCCTCTGGCATATTATGCTGCATTGTGGAATGATCCAAATTTGCTCAACCTCACTTAATGTCAACCCATCAGCTTTGACATGTTCACCAAGACCTTTCATGAAAAGGGTCTTCAATTTTCTGTTAATTACTTGATTCAAATCGAAATACACCTTTGAATTAAGTATATTCACAGGTTTTTTCATTACCGAATACTCATTAAGATATCTTCAGATTGCTGCCATACAGCTTTTTACAGATGTTGTGTAATACTCTCCACCATCCTGTCTTGTCATCACACACACAAACTTTGATAATTGATCCTCCAAAACTGTTTTTGAATTCACTTCTTCAATTTTTTCTTTATACCCAACATTAGAATGAAACTTCTCTAGTGCCCAGATCTACATTTGTGTCACCTTATGAGTTGCCTGAACCTTTGCATTCTCTTGAATTTCCTTTAGTTCATGTACAGAGGGCTCTGTATATTTAACTTGCTAATGAAGCACTATGTTAATATGTCTTTTTACTATAAAAAAATATGAAAATAATAACTATTATTAATTACCTTGGCATTAACAACTTTCTCTTGGATTAATTTCATTTTTGTCATTGCTTTTATAGGTTTCAAGAAGCTTTATGGCTTTTGGTAGCTTTACTGTTATGCTTTAGATTGGCTTTATGACTTCAGATAAGCTTTGTACTTTAAATGGACTTTATAGACTTTACTGCTGCAGGTTCACAAACTTTAATAATTGGCTTCAAAAAAGCTTTTGCAGTTTCAACTAGTTTTTATAGATAAATTGTAGCTTTGAATTTGTGACAAAACTTTAATCTTTATGAAATTACAACACCAACTTTCAATTTCCACCATCTACTTTCAACTCCCAACACCTTTCAACCACATCAACTTCAAACTCAACTTTCAATTGCCAGCAATACTTGAAGAAACGTCAAGGTATTTAGAAAAGAAAATAAAAAATTTTTTTCGTCAAAGAAAAAAAAGTTTCAATTTTTTTTTATCGTAGAAAAAAAAATTGATTTTTTTTACTAATTTACTATCTTTTTTTTAGGTTTAAAATTGTATTTATAATATAGTCAAATTGGGCCATAATCATAAATTGTCAGATAACATCATTATTGAGCAAATTTTTGTACAACAGTAATTTGGCTCAAATGGACAAATGATCAGCTGGACATGTGCTACTTTGTGGCATGTGCCAGCCAATCATTTGTCTGTTTGAGCCAAATTACCATTATACAAAAATTTTTGCCCAATAATGTATACTTAATAGCTTGTTTATATTTAGTAATATCAAAAGTAAAAAGTTTATTATAAGAATCAAAAAGATTAAAAATTGTTGACAACTTATTTAGATAAGCTTAATATAATATAAATTTTATTTTCATTATATTAATTACAGCATGTTATATATTGATTGTTAGGTTTTTATTATTATTTAAATGTATAATAAGGTTTTAGAATATCAAATACAAGTTATCTTGAGTTAGAAGTATTAATAAAAATAACATTATGGTTATATAATATATAGGTTTAAAAAGAGTTAATAGGTCTTATAATTTGTAATAATAGAATTAAAATATTTTATTTAAAATTTATAGCAATTTTTATAATAATTTTTTATTTTTGTTTATCAAAATAATACAGATTTAATGTTTGGTTGTTTACAATAAGAATATTAGTTATAAACCAAATTCATTAAAGTTTCTTTAACAAAATATATATACTGTTCTATTTAGTATTAACATTAATTTAAAGCATTAAAAAAAGAAATGTTTTTTATTTTAAAAATTTGTTTTAATTTTTTAATTAGTTATAAAAAGTTTTTAAACTTTATAGAGAACTTTTATGCTTTAAAAATTTTTTTATTAACTGACTTAATTCTTTCTTTAACAATAATATTTAGAATATTTATATTATAATAAAAATGCTATATATTATTTTTACTAAATTTATTACTCATTCTTTCTTTTAAATATATCTATTACAATTATATTAAAAGTATTATTTATTATTATTCTTAAGAGTTTTTGGCTTATATTTATTTTAAGTAAAAGTTTGATTATTATATCAATTTGATTAGCTGTAATGTGTATTTGATTAAAAGAAATAATGTCTAATAAAATGTAATACATTTTTTATTCAAAATTCATCCAATATATAGTTATACCAAGATAGGATTGTTGCATATAGAATGTTTATTTGTTCATTATAATAGAAATTTTTAATTAAATAGTATTAAAAAAAAGAAAATTTTATTTTTATTTTTAATATATTCTTAGTTAATTAAGTCTTTAGCATAAAAGTTTGTATCATAGATTAAAAAATTAATAAATTTAGCATTTTTAATTAATAAAAATAATTGTTAGTTAATAATTACCTATTTTAAAGTTTATTATTTAATGTATTTATATTTATTATTTGAACTATAAAAATAGAGTTGTTAAAGTTTATATTACTTGATTTAGTAAATTTTATAGAATAAAAGTTTTGAAAATATCAATTAATAGTTAATATTGCAGTTTGATTGCCAAATGTTTGTTTATATAATTTATATCTGTTATCTTTATTAAAAGTTGATAAAAAGTAATTTATTATAGATACTTAATTATTTATAAGTGAAATTGAAATATTACTTCATGTTTGATTTGTGTTATCTGATAATAGTATGATTTTATTACTTATAGTTTCTTTATTAGAAATTTCAGGTTCTTTGTTTACAAATTTGATATTTGCTATAGGTTTAAATTCATTTGTTTTTATTTTATTTTTTTTTATTTTTTATTTTTTTTATTTATTTTTTTATTTTTATTTTTTTTATTTATTTTTTTTTGAGAAAGAGAAATCTTTAAATAATTTTATAATAAACTGTCTTTATTATATAGTCTATTGTTTAATTATGTTTTTGTTACTAAAAAATTTATAAAAGGTTAATTTTTTTCTTTTATTTTATCAAACAGAATTACTATAAACATAGGTAACATTTTATTATTAATAAACTTTTATATTAAATATGAGTAATGCTTTACATTAATAAAAATTTTGCTTTTATCTTAATACTAAAAAAAAAAATAAATAAAATAAAATTTTTGCTCTTTGTAATAAAATTTTATATTGAATATAAGTAATACTTTATATTAATAAAACTTTTGTTATATTGAACATAGATGATGTTTTATATTAATAAAACTTTGTCTTCTATCAAGCAAAATATTAAAACATTAATGTCTTTCATTATTAATAAATTTTTTCTAAAACATATTATACTTCTTTATTTTTTAAATAAAAATAATTATTTTAAAACAGAAACTTTTTGAGTATTTGTAATAGGATTAAATTACTTTTATTAGAATAGTTTTTTTTATACAAACTGATTTTAAAACAAAGATAATTAATACAATTATAAATTATAACTTATTTAGATTAAATTAACTTATATATCTCTTAAATTGTAATACAAACAAATTTGTTTGTATTAATTTTTTTAAAATTAATTTTTATAATAAAATTTTAATATTTAATTTTTTTAAAATTAATTTTTATAATAAAATTTTAATAATTAATTTTAGCAATATAATTTCTAAGCAAAAAATATTTTTAAAAACTTATTTTGTAAACTTTATTAAAAAACTTTTAATTAATTAAAGTTTAAAGGTTGTATAATATTAGGGTTTACTATTAAAATTTTTTTTAAATTTTTTTTTCTCTTGAAGCAGCAATCTTGTCTGTATGTCTTTATTAGTAATATATAATTATATTTTTATATATATATAAAGTTTATCAATGAAAGTACAACTAGCCATATATATAATTTTAGTTATTATCTAATTAAGGATTCTGCTTATAAATTACTTATTAGCTGCCATACCTGAGAACTGTCTGTGAATTTCCTATTTAAACTTTCTGATTTTCAATACTTTTGCATATATATATATAATATTTATATTACTATTATAGTAACATATTAGGTTAAAGCTATCTAATTCTATTTATATCAAAATACTACCTTATTGAATATTACTAAGTATCCATAGGCTTTGAATTTATCCTTAATGCAGACTTACTAAGCATAATACCAAGATTACTTCTTAGATTCAATTTAGCATATCCTATATTTACTAACTAGTTTTAATGCCACAAGTGTTCAAATTTCAGTAAATTCATTCCTTTTCTGTAGCTTCTTTTATATTCACTATATTATTCACTAGTGCATCTTCTTTTTATTTTTAATATGTTCACTGCTTCTCTTATATTAAGTGCCAACTCTCTATATTAGAAAACTTCTTTTCAAAAACTTTCTTATATACTGATTCTTTATTTATATAAACTTAGCTATAGGGCTTTATATACATTCATATGCTTTTGTAGATTACAGAATTTTTTTGACTTTAACTAGAATTGAACTATTGATCTTGTCTATAAAAAGAGGGGTACCTAGACCACTAAACTATAGAACTTTATCTCATTTTTCAGATTTTTTAAAATTTTATATATTTTTAAAACTAAAAAAAAAATTTTGCTTTTAAAACAAGTATTAATTTTTTATATATAAATTACTAAACTTATAATAATTAAAATTGTAATCTAAAAGATGTGGCAACTTAGTAAAGTGGTTAGGTTGTCAATTCTTCAAATAGTAGGTTGAATGTTCAAATCCTATTGATAGCAAAATTTGAATAATCATTTATATAATATTTGTAATATAACAACTGTTACTAATGATTAGATTAGAATATCTGTAATAGCAGTCATATCAGCATGATTGGCAGATAATGGTGCCTTTATGTAACTAGTTATACAAAAAAATGCAAACTGGAAAATCAAATAATACAAATACTAAATAAATTCTTATAATTATATAAATCTGTTAAAATTATATAACAAGAAATTTATTTAAGAAAACCTAAATAAAGAGGTAGCTAGATTTTCAATGGTCTACTGTAAAGACTAGTTCAAGAAAATGAATATTAAAGTTTTAGTATCTAGTTGTAGTACTTGAACAGGCAAGAACCTCTGAGTTGGGTTTCTTAGAGGTATCACTAATCATGCTGTCAGAACAAATTAAAGAAAAAAAATATCAAGTCAATTCAATTTACTAATAAACTAATTATAGTCATATACAGACTATCTAGATTGAAAGTTTGATAAAAAGGAGATGAAAAGGCAAGGGTATACTAAAGTACTGAGGTTATACTATAAAGTAGATGCTGGGTCTGTGTAAACTCTACAAAAGCATAATGATTAAATAATATAACTCTAATTATAAGTTGTGATTCTATTATAGTGATATCAGATTAGTTGTAAAAATAAATACAGAAGGCTTTAAAAGGTTTATCTCAAGGATAAAATAGTCTTAAGATTAAGACAATAACCTAGACTTGGCTTAGTAATGTTAATACAAATTGCAGATTTAAAAAATTTAAAATAGAACATTCAAATAAAGATATTAAATATAGCAATTAGTAAAAAACCTTTTAATAAACATCTTAAATAGGTAATATAGAAAAATTACATATGTAGCTAATTGTACACTCTTTTGTAGTAGTTTACTAAATCATATTACTAAAAAAGTTATTAATAAAAATCAAAAG